TAAAAAAAAAAAAAAAAAAAAAAAGGAGAAAAAATACTTGTATGCATCACATAAATAGCAATGAAAATGATGCAATGTAAGAAGACAAGGGATCTTAAGATCTGCACTCTAATGCAGGGACTGTTTTAGTGAACAAATTTAAAGGCCCCCTGAATGTCATAACCACACTGTATAATACCTTTCACTCTGAGTTCCCAAACTCTTTACAAATTATTCTATATACCAATTAGGTTCAGGTATGATGACCTCTTTAAACACTATATATACCCTTCTTTAAACATTACCGGTCCTACTGCTCACTCTGCTCTCCGAGTTATTCCTTTAGTTCCAAAAAAGACAGGCCATTATATTCAGATACCTTCTTTCCTTCCAGAATAGGTATGTTGGTGATTGGAAGTCTGATAAGTGTTTAAACAACCAATACCAACATTGGAAAAAATTGCAGGACAGAAGTAAAACATACCTCAGAAGGCAATTTAAAAATTGGATCTCTTTACTTACTTCCCCTTTAAAGGCTCTCCAATATACAAATACTAAATTGCTTTTTAAAACATTTGGTCATACTTTCTATTACTTTGAGTGCTCTGGGTGATACAAGAGCTTTGACTGAAGCACCAGGCTTCTTATGAGGTTTGGGATGAGGGACTAGGAATTACAGCCCGTGGGTCGAGTCTGAAACTCACATACACATGCTGTGTCCCTCCCTGCAGTTATACAACACGACTGCCTGATAGATAGGCAACTGGTGAGGGGCGGGCATGCTGCCCCCCACCCCCGGACAGGGCTGTTCCTGCTGCTGTCAGCTTCTGCAGGTGCTCACCAGCCCCAGCCCCGCCACCAACACTGCTGGCAGCTTCTGCAGGTACTCACCAGCTCCATCCCTGCCACTGCTGGCTTCTGCAGGTACCCCCCCAGACTCAGGAGGCACCAGTTGCCCATGGCCTGATAGAGCAAGGCATGGAATTTAATGGCCCAGGAGGATGCTTCTCGTCTCATGTTTCTATGAAACAGATCCATGTATGATCAACGTCTGTGAGAAAAAGTAGATTCCAGGCAAGTTTATGCTATCTTTGGCAATTCATCCCTAAGGGCAGTACATGTCTGGACACTGCACAAGATCGGGCAATGTTTCTCAGCTTGGAGTGCAGGCCGCCAGAGAGATGACCAATTTAACTGTGTGCTGGGGGGAGGTTAACGATCAGAGAAGGGAGAGGTGGAATAACCTCAAATTCCATCTGGTTACTCACTGTAAATCCGCTACTGTGGGTGAATGGGTAGTTTCTTGAAACTCAATCTCCATTTTCCTGTGGCTGTTCCACAAGAACTGCAGGCTCAGAAAGCAGCCCACTGGCTCAAGCCACCTCTGTTCCCACAATATACAGCTCAGCTGCATGAACCTATATACTGGACCATGTAGCCCCAAGGGCTGCTCACAGACTTCTCCACTCCAGGCAGCAGGAAGCCTTCTGGTGAGCAAAGGAATGGGGAGGACAGAAAAAACAGGAAGAGATATGAACAAAGAGACACACTGGAGACAAAAGAAGTGAAGAAAGAATAAAAAGAAACAGGCATGGACATTATGACATGAAACAGCACAATGGGTTTCTGGGAAAAAGCACCCCCTCATAAAACAGACTAACATAGAAAGGTTGCATACCACAGAAATATGTACTGGCTTGAGAAAGGCACATTAAGACACTGTACAGATTTAATCCTTATTCCCCCACCCCCAATAACCTTTGTCTCAAGCCTCTCCCAAGCAACTTGGTTGTACAAACTGGGATTTGCAACACATGCAAATGAATTATAGGTCAACAACAGGCTCGTTTCAACTTACGGCACAAACCACAATTTGATCATTGGCCTTACTACCTCCAATTGAAGAACCCTACTCAGCAACCTTTCTTGAATAGACCCAAGTATGACAGCCTAGTAGACCACACCCATGTAAGAAATAATTGGTATTGAGCAAGACTCTTCAACCTAATAAGCACCAAATCTTTGTCTCTGCTGGTAGAGAAGTTTAGTGTTTAACCTGTAATTACCAAATGTGGGACATCTTTGATAGCAGCAAAGTATAACTGATTACACATTGCCAGGATGAGTAAAATTTTTTAAAAATCACACTTCTAAAACCCCTTTATCCATGCATATAGGGCAACATACAGGCACGCTATGGAACCTGGGACATACAAGCATTTTGTTAAGTGTATGCAACACCTCCAAAGCCTTCTGGTCTTTTGCTTTTAATCACCAATAACTTAAATTGATTCTTAAAAGACAGCAATGGACAAATATCTGTGCATTAAAAAGTGTTGCTTTTACATTACAGTATTTTACTCAAACAACATAGTGCATGAATAGAATTTCCAAAGTAGCCTGATCCTTGAGCATTCAGCCCCTTCAGAGACAATAAGTTACTTTTTTTAAAAAAAAACTATTTTTTGCCCTCTTTCTCTGCAAAAAGCTAATACAGGATTCTTCTTTACAGAAGTGTCCAAAGGTTCATGTAGATTACTTTTAAGAAACTGAAGTAATGAGGCTTCCGCCACTTTCTGTGGGGCACTTTTCCAGTCTCCTGAACTTCACTTGTAGGGCTTACTCCACTTGCCCCCAAAAATGTAGTTTTTCTTTGTTCAGTTTCAACCCGTTATTCTTAGTGATGAAATACAACTGGGTCACCCAAACAGCTTCCCTCCTTCATACAAACTCTGAAATGAGTCTTGTGGGCCACTGGGTCCAGATGTCTGCATTGTTAGGCACTGGTGCTCACTCAACTCAGACACTTATAAATAACTGTTTTGAAGAAAGGCTGTTGCAGTTGCACTTAAGTCAAGCTCCTAGACAACTTATTTTGCTGTTCTTTTTGAATTTCCTTCTATATTATGGGCACCTAACTCTTCTCTTTGTAGTTTTAAGTGTAACCTAATCAAACCCATAAGGAGACAGGGTTGTGTCATCAAGGATGACAGTTTGTGACCTATTTTTCATCTCTGTGTGTAGCCTAGAACCAGTGTCTTCAATTTAACATTGCAAGCTGAAGCCTTATTTGCTATAGCTCTCACCCAAGTCCCTTTCAGCATTGCTATTATCCAGGTTTCCCCTTCGCACAGAAATATTACTACAAAAGTCTATCCCTGTGCCTCAAAGTAGAGCCAACAAAGGAAAAATGCTTCCTTAACCTCCCACACCTGCTTAAATGTGGTCTTTAAAGGTCACACTGCATAGTTTAAAACATGCTCTTAACTTACACTTGCTAGTAGTGACATGGAAGCCAGTATCCTTACCGGAATTTTTTTTTCTTCTACCGCAGAGGCACATTGGTTTGTTATTGCAGGGCTGCTCAGGAGGGCTGGGTTGCTGGCATTGTGTTTTTTCTTAAAAGAAAAAAAAGAAGTTTTAATAAATGCTGGTTTATAAAGAAATGTGAACTGTGCAACAAGAATACCATTTGGTATAATTTTCAGCAGATCTATCTAGATAACATCCCCTCATTAACACATCTAAGGTGGCAAAATGCTGAGCTGCTCTGCCTTTCTTAGTCTACAGTAATAAAGTAAAATGATAGAAGCAGATACACACCAGGGACCTAACCTGAATGAAGGTAGCATAAGGCCCACAAAGTAGGCACATGCTTTTAAACTGCTTCAGCTGAAACAAGGCACTGGCATTTCAAGCAGACAGACCTGCTGCTGACCTATTCTCTCCCCTGCCACAAGGCCACAATGTTATTGCTTTCAGCAGTCCATTACCTGCTTGTTCGAGTGAGTGGTGTCCTTATTCTTCATGGTTTCAAGGCCAGGTAGCCTGTGACGTCGGCCCATCTGGAGGGCAACCAGGTCTTTCATGATGGAGTTCAAAGCCTCCTGTTCATCTGAAAGCAGTAAGAGTTTAAGAGGCAAGTTGACCTGGTGAGTATCAGCTGGAAAATTCTTGTTTGCATCTGGTTTTTAAATACATGATCCAGTTTAGAGATCTTTTCAGATATATAAACTACATCTTCACCAATAATTATGAAGTTCCACAACTCCATACAGGAGTTCTGTACAGGAATGGAAGACAGGGATTGAAATTTTAGTTTAATAGAAATCATAGGCAAAATTCCCATCAACTTTAATGAAGCCAGAATTTTACCCTGACATATTTCACATTTTCTGATCTTGAATTTTTTGTCATTTCTTTGCTTCTTTCAAGAAACTGCCTTAAGATATTATGGACCAAGTAAACAGAGGAACTTTTGTTCACCAATTCCCAGAATACAAGAACTAAGAGGCATCAGCTGAAATTACAGAACTATAGACTCATAGATAAATGGGACTGGAATGGTCCTTCAGAAGTCATCTAGTCCAGCCTCCTTCCTGAGGCAGTATCATCCCTATCCAAGCCATCCTATACAACCCAGAATTGAAACTCTACATAAGACTACCATGAACCCTGACACAACTTAGGCCTAACACCTTGACTTGCCACAGGTAAAGAAAGGGAACCACAGCAACCAATGTCTTGCTTCTGTGAAAGGCTATCAATATATGCTCAAGAGATCCCTGGTAGAGGGCCATGCCCCCTGCTACAGAGGAAGGCAACTCCTCCCACCCCCAGTCTGTACCAATATGCCCACGGGGTAAAATTCCTTCCTAACCCCAAGTATGGCGATTGGTCTGACCATGAACAGAGGGGCAAGACTTTCTAGACAGGAACCTCCAGCTTCAGTCCCAGCAGGAGCATTGGCACACCCCAGTCAAAATCCCCATCTCTACCTGAAGCCAACACCAATCCCTAAGGGAGACTTAAAAACACCTGATACATGTAGCAGAAAGGGGAAGAGGGCAATCAACAAAGCCCAGAATCATTGGAAATGCCCACAGTGGAACATAAGCATAACTATGCCTAAACTATCTCTGACCAGTGGCTGTCCAACTTCTTAAACACCTTCAGTAATGGAGAGTCCACAGTTTCCCCAGGCAGTCTACTCCACTGCCTCACTATTCTCATAGTGAAGTTTTTCCTGACATCCATTCTAAGACTTACTTTGCTGCCATTTCAAGCCATTGGCCCACATCCTCCTCTTGGCAGCCAGAGAGAAAAGATGCTTTCCTTCTTTATGGCAGCTCTTCAAGTATGTGAAGACAGTTATGTTCCCTCTTAAGTGCCTTTTCCACAAGCTGAACGTGCCTAGCTCCTTTAGCCTCTCCTCATATGACTTGCTTCCCAAGCTTTGTATCACCCTTTATTGCTTGCCTCTGGATGCCCTAAATTCTCCACCTCCTTTTTAAAATGTGGAGCCCAAAACTGCACACAATACTCTAGATGAGGTCTAACCAATGCTGAGTATAGAGGCATTATCACCTGTCATGTCTTGCACCTAATGCTTCTATTGATGCATCTCAAAACCACATTTGCCTTTGGTGTAGCTGCATCATGGTGCAGATTCATATTGAGTCTGTGATCTACCAAGGCTCCCAGATCTTTCTCTGTAGTGCTGCCATCCAGCCAGGTGTTATGCATTGTGTATTTGTATTTTTGATTATTCTACCCAAAGTATTACACCTTGCATTTGTCAGCATTGAATTTCATCCTGTTAACTTCAGCCCAGCTTTGCAATCTGTCAAGATCCTTCTGAATTGAGCTCCCATCTTCCAATGTGTTCGCAATCCTTCCCAGTTTCTTGTCATCTGCAGACTTGCTCAAGCAGCACTGAAAACAGCACTGAGCCCAGGACAGACCCCTGGGGGGCTCCATTCAAAACCTCCTGCCATTCTGAAATGGAGCTGTTAAAAATTACCCTTTGCTTGCAGCTATTGAACCAGTTATCCATCCACCTTATAGTAGTTTTGTTCAGCCCACACGTTTCCAATTTTTTTATGAGAAGGTTGTATGGAACCCTGTCAAAAGCCTTACTGAAATCCAGATATACTATATCCATAACATTCCCTTCATTCACCCAAGCAATTACTTTCTCAAAGAAGGAGATCAATTTTGTTCGACAGGCTTGTAATCAGCCTTTCCTCCTCCAGATTCTTGCAAATGGCCTTCCTTAGGATAAACTCCAGTAATTTCCCAGGTATTGCAGTAAGGTTAACTAATTAATTAAAGTCTGTAATTCCCCAGGTCCTCCTTTTTGCCTTTTTTAAAGAGAGGCACTACATTGGCCCTTGTCCCGTTCTCTGGTACCTGGCCCACCTCCCATGACTTTTTGAAGATCATTGACAACAGCTCCGAGATCTCCTCTGCTAGTTCCTTCAGTACCCTTGAATGAAGCTCATTCGGCCCTGCTGATCTGAATTCATTCAAGCCCATCAAAAGCTCTTTGACCATTTATTTTGTTATCTCATCCCTCAGTTTGCCCCCTTCCTTATCCAGATAATTCTTATTAGGTGTCTGGCTGCAGCTCATTTTTTTTGTGAAGACTGAGGCAAAGTAGCTTTTGAGTAGCTCTGCCTTCTTTGCATCTTCTGCTAGAAGATGTCAGCAAATTAATAGGTGACAGGTTTAAAACTAACTAGAAAAAGTACTTTTTACTCAGTGCATAGTTAAGTTGTGGAATTCATTGCCACAGGAGGTGGTGAAGGCAGACAGCACAGCCAGGCTCAAAAAATAGACTGGATAAATTCATGGAAGACAAATCTATTAACAGTTATTGAATGGAATGGTTGGATAGGCTTCCTTTGGCATCTCTAAACCAATAAACAGTAGATACCAGTGACAATACTGAACAGGGGATAGGTCGCTCTAGAGATATCTGGTTCAGTGCTCTCCCTGTATAGCATAGCATCTACCTCTATCACTGCCGGAGACATGATACCGTGCTAGACAGACCACTGGTCTGACCCAGTATGGCACTTATGTTCCACAGGCAAGTCAGCCTTAGGTGAGAGTTTAAAATTTCTTGCCCAATGTCATTAATAAAAAAAAATCAGCTCAAAGCCAGGCTTTAAACTTAAGAATTCCTGAGGGTCAAGCCCATATTTTGCCTAATTGGGCACATTCACTCAAAAAATAAAGTAATGTGACCCAGGAAGATTTGCTAGACAGTGAATCAGACTGCATACAGAGGACGATTCAAAATATTCTGTTGCCACAGGAAACTTGACAACCACCTTTCCCCTTTCACCTCTAAAGTCTGCACCCCTCAGGAACCATCCTCTGCTTGATGATTCAGCCAGCCCTGCATAATAGCAAGGAAGCTGTCAACAAGTTATTTTGGAGTAGTTCTAGGGTCTCCAACATTTGTTCTGACCTCTAAGGGCTTGTCCCTCCTTATTCCCCAAAAGATAAGAACTCACAGAACACAGGCTGAGACAACTAGTGAGACTTGAAAACATCTTCAAGATACAAGTCAAAATGAGGCAGAAGCAGGAGCGCTAATGGCAACTGCCAGTCAAGGCCTTCAGAGCAGAGATCAGACTCACAACTGGGAGGCCAGTCACTTATTACAACAGCAGCCTGCCAAGGCTCTGATCATAACCGTGGCTCAGAGTTCGGAGCATCTTGCGAAGGGGAACCAGACACGTTTTCTGCCTCACAGTTAATGGGAAATCAGAGGCCAATGGAATCTCTCTCTAAAGCTGAGCTTTGGAGATTGAGTAAAAGATGAAGCTGCTTCCTCCTTAAGAGCACTGTTATTCAGTTGCACACTGCATGGAGTCTTAGGAAAATTTTAGGCTCTGCAGCGCTCTCTTTCAAAGAACAAGGGGCCCTGCTCTCCAGTGAAACCGAGATGGCAAGATTTCTATTGTCTTTCCTCCTTGACCAGCCAAGATATACATTGACTTTGCCTGCTTATTTCAGTTTCAATTTGTTTTCCTGAAAACAGGGTGTAGGAACTTGGAGCCATCAGCTGCTCCTCCAGAAAAAACCCAAAACCAAGATAGGCAGTAACAATGAATTTCAGTAACGTGCCGAGTTCAGACACTACTGAGACCTGCTAGTCCCAAACTTAGCAGGCCCTTTGGTCTGCAGAGTCCACACACTTCAAATGTTTCATCACCCCACTGTGCTAAGGTGCTTCAGACCAGCTATTGTGATAGTAAAAGCCAAATCAAGTGACCTCACATTTTGCTACAACTATGAAAGGGGTCAAGTAACCACAAGTCATAGGCTGTAGTGCAAACAGGACTAACTCAAAAGTCCTGGTTTTCCTCTACTCCATGGGGTGTAAACTTAGTATGCACAGGACTTTACTGGATCCCTTAAACAAGATTAACGTGTGGACATATGAACACTTGGGACCTCTTTCAAAAGGGAAATCAAGAGGGCAGAAGTTGGTACATGATAATGCTGCGTGTGAATGAATGAAGGAGGATTTGAATGCAGCAAATCAGCTCCAACTGTAAGCCTAGACAAAAGGGTGTTAAAGTTGGAGCTGGTTTGCTGCAGCTGAATCCTCCTTTGTTTTTTCACACAACAATTAGAATGTACTAGCTTCTACCCTTCTGAAATGTTCCCCTCTTGAAAAGGTCTCCAAGTGCTGTGCGTGTACTCCCTCAGAGTCTCAGATCAAATCGAGGCTTTAATCCAGTTATGTGAACAGAAATTTTTGCCATTACAAACCTGAACTGTGTCATTTGTAACCAGTTACCCAATATGGTCATCTCTGTATAAGCAGACTCAGAAGTGTAATGCAGGAGAAGAGTCATGGTGAAGGTTTATTTGTAATTATTCAATCAAATCCATATTACTGAGTTTGTTAACCTTTACCAACTACACCACCATTTTAACTTGATTACAACTGATTTGATACAATTATGACTGTAAGTACCCAATACACTGCATCACCTCAGAGCCTGCCTGAGTTCAGGAGACAAACCACTATGCATCCTAAAACTGAAATAACAGGAGGTACTGCAGGACTTGACAGAAGTGTAGTAGTTGAGC